TTTTTTTTTTTTTTTTTTTTTTTTTCCCTTTTGCACTGCACCGCGTTCCATCTCATTGCAAATCTTTGGGCTTCAAGCATCACGAGTGTGTTATGCATGGGTTTTCAGAGGGTATCGTTTTGGGCTTTTTTTTTTTTCGTTGCCCCTTTTTCTTTTTGGCGTTGTTACACACACACACACACACACACACACACACACACACACGCCCACCCACCCGCCCGCCCGCCCAACCACCCACACACGCACGCATGGACATAGTAACAACGAACAGGGGGGCTTCTGAACAGCGCGTGGCCAATAGATGAGGGTTGCTCCAAGATGGGATGGGTGACACTAGCAGCTCCATGGGACAATGGAGCTCCGGTCTGAGAAGAGAAACGACCACAACCCCAGGAAAAAACAAACAGCAAACTCTGTGTTAATGGGACGCTGGACCCGGTTTCCAGCAGGTGCCTCTCCGCACCAATAGATGAAGCAGCCCAGCCGATAAGCCCTCAATTCTGACGGTTCTCTCACCACCGCCCGGATGAAGGGCTTACCCAACAGTTACGGCTATAAATATAAACTCAAAAAAATGACAATGAAAAGAACGCATATGCGTTGTATTCAAATAGAAAGCAACCTATGTGTCTTCTTTCTTTTTTTTTTTCTTTTTTTTTTCTTCAAACTGCCCGAGGTCATGCTAGGGGTGCTGATAGGATCAGGCACCGCAGCATATCCGGGTAGGCTCCATCTATTGGTGGGGAGCAGTCCCTGCGGGAGGGTCCAGCGTCCCTGAACAATTTGGGTTGCCAGAGTTGTTCCTTTGACACGTTTGACGGTAAGCTACAGAGTGTTTCTGCAGAAAATCAGAGAATCTGATCGGCATAGAGGGTTACACCACAGCAGCTTAGTGATTGCCTACATGTCATTACAACGTAGGGAATGCTGTACACAGGTCTCTGATTGAACCTACACTCGACCAATTCTCATCACATGCAGGCAAGCACACCCCCCGTTCCCCTACCTCCAAGGCTCCACCCTTAGGACCACAATGTAGTGATGTGCGCTTTATGCTGGTTGTGTGTTGTTGTATGTCTTCGAGGCCCCTAGACTCGACCAATTCTCATCACATACAGGCAAGCACACCCCCCGTTCCCCTACCTCCACCCTCAGGACCCCAATGTAGTGATGTGCACATGGTGCTGATTGTAAGTTGTTGTATGCCTTCGAGGCCCTTTCCCGTCGGGGTCAGATAACCTCTGTTTTGCTTCAGCCCCTGGCTGAGTATCTGTTCTTTTCCACCTTGTCCCCTATCGTGGATCCGCGGAGTCCCAGCATCAGTGACCACCCCCCAACTGAGTTCCTCCTTTTCTTATAAGACTGAGGTATATAGCTGTCTTCCCGGTTGGCCCGAGTGTTGAGAGCTGTTGCTTGTGACTCCTCTCCACATAGCTTCAGACTCCTACTGTCTTTCACCCTTCTTTGTCCTGCAGGTGTTCCAAGTCAGGCCGGGCAGGGTTTAATCCGGGGAGGGCAGGGGATCTCTTGCTGCGTTGGGGATGGGTGAGGGGTGATCAAGGGATTAAGGGCAGCCCAAACAGGAGGGGATTGGGAAGGGCCAGGCTATGCCAGGCCTGGTTTGTCAGACTTCGGTATTCACCAGAATAACGTTTTGTTCTTGGTAGGGGACCCGGAACTTCCGGAAGTGTGAGAGGTGTAATCGTTGCCAGAAAGGTTCGGTAGCTGTCCAATTTTTCCAAACCAAGTTATGCTGGTCGTCCAAGGAACAGAGGTTCTTATGTTTGTCCATCCAAGTGGTTTGAAAGGCGTCCAGACATGCCTGTTTCTCTGTTTGTTCCTTGGCGGTTTTTAAATCTTTTTTCATTGCCTTCCATGCTCCCTGCGTATGAGTGGTTATGGTTGCCATAACAACTTCCTTGGCTTGGGGCAGGCTGAACATGCACTTATTGCGTTCATGAGAGCATCGCTCCATGCCAGCATGAGTAGTGTCAGGCGCACGTATGAGAACAGATTGGCTGCAAAGGCGTCCCATTGACGTGTTGTGGGTGTGCCCTGCCCCAGGAGCAGCAGCAACAAAACCCACGGTAGGTGTTCCCCTACCAAGTAGTGCCAGATAGAGTCCCACCATCGTCATAGCTGGGCCACCATCGGACATGCCAGGAGACAGTGCTCCAAGGTGGCCCTTGCTGGGGGGGAGCCCTTTTTTTTTTTTTTTTTTTTTTTTAAAACTTCGCAAGTGGGAAACCTACTTAACGAGGTGATAAGAGCAGCCCCGTTAAGTCTGTCTCTTATACACATCTAGATGTGTATAATGCCAGGAGACAGTGCTCCAAGGTGGCCCTTGCTGGGGGGGAGCAC